CACACGATATCCATTTTAGATTTACATGGCTCATTCTCAGTTATATAACCCACGCCTAGATAAACAAGTAATTAGAATGTATACTTTACTCCTGAAACATTGACATTGTATCAAATTCTCAATACGTTTTTTACGAAATTCTTCAGCATTCTCACTGCTTTATGGTGTTTCTGTTGACTTAAGATCCATCAGAAGTTTTCTGTTTTTAGGTTTTTTTTTTTGGTTTATTCTTTCTTTTTGTCCTCCTTTTCCAATAGCTCTTACTGAACGGTGATATACGGAAATTTTGATTGTATCGATGACCCCTTAGCATATTTTGTTTTTTTCCTTCTCTCTAGCTTTCTCTGGTGTCTGAGAGAATGAGGGCATTATATATGGCCTGCTCGCATGGCTACGTCTAGTTCACGCTGAAAAGATGCAGATGGAACACGATAAAAGATCGCTTGATAAAACTTCAAACAAATCACTCGAAAGTACCTAGGCCAAGTGATTCTCTCACTCAGAACTCCCAAAGTCTTATATTGATCGTGGCTTGGAACTTAACAATATAGAATGTGCCACTACGTCTTGGACTATTTTCTCGTGATTTGAGAGAGGAGGACAAGGTCTATTATGCTGCTCATTTATGACCAGCCGGACAGTGATTCTATATGGGCTTCCTACCATCAACCTACCAAAGTGTCGTAGGATATCAGGGGGTCCCACACCCTGAACACACTTTTTTGCTCTGAATAACATGCCATACGGTCATCACTTCTCACGACACAGATTAATGTGATCACTAAGCACACTTACCTCGATATGAAAGTATTTCAATATCCCATCATACATTCTCATACAACTATGCAAGGAATAACATGTAAAACTTTTAAACTTCTGTGAACCACAAAAGTTGTAAATATTTTTAATAAGAACTCCCTCATCATTCAAATAATGATTATCAAACAATAAATTGTGGTAATATAAACATGACTTCACATTTTATATACTCTAATTTTTAGTTTAATAACGTATCATTCTATCTTTGCACTATTTGTGTCAGTACATAACAGCAACAAATTACATGGTGACCTATCTATCCTAAATGCATCAACCTTGGTTATTGTTGTGGCGAATGTTTTGAGGTACAGGCTAAACTGCTATAACAAAGAAATGGTATAAAAACATGCAGCGGCTAAACAAAACAGAATTTTATTTCTCTCTCACGTAAGAATCCTGGGTGGTTTAGGATAGGTAGGATACTTTGTTCCATGAGGTTTTCTAGGAAGGAAATTCCTTCCTCCTTCTGTTGTTGCTTTCCCATTCCTTAAAATATTGCCTTCAGCTGAATGGTTGAAGCCAGTTCACTTAGCTCTCTAACTACATTTCAACCAGTAGGAACTGGAAAAGAGAAAAAGGAGGAATATTGAATCATTTTGCTGTACAAAAAACCACCCAAACCATGGTGGCTTAAAAAAATAATCATTTATTAGCTCACAATTCTGTGTTTCAGCAATGTGGGCTGGACTCAGCTGGGTCCTCTAATGGTCTTACCTGAGGTACTCATTTGTCTGTAGTCAGCTGGAGGGAGGCTGATGCTTGGCTGAGGGGGGAAACTGTGTCATGTGTCTCTAGCATCTAGAAGGCCAGCCTGATCTTTGTCATGGAGAGGCTGGGCTGTAAATGCAGAAAAGGAGGGCAGAACCCCACACATAAGCACTTTCAAGACTCTGCTTGTACCATAGTTGCTAATAGCCCATCAGCTAAACCAAGATTTAATAGGCTGAATGGAGTGGCCAAGTCACATTGCCAAGGGGTATGTATACAGAGATAGGAGGAATTTGTGGCTGTTTGTTTTAGCAATCTACTACAAACAACAAGGTCTGCAGTAGCACATACTACTTCCCTTTATCTGCCATTGCCAAAAACTTAGCCACATAGGAAAACCCCAACTACAAACAGGGGCTAGCCAGTACTCTACTAAAACTCAGTGGAGGTGGGCAGGAGGGTCTATTCAAAAGGGAGATGTGGGGGAAAATGGACACTGGAAGAAAACAGCTGTCTATCCCATAGATAACAATTCCATTAGCTATTTCTTCAATTTCTTAGAAGCAAAGAATTAGAAACCACTTGATTTAAGAAAGGATCTTGGCGGCGCTCTTCCTTTCGGATCTGCCATCTCCAGTGGAACCGCCACCAAGATGCAGATTTTCGTAAAAACCCTTACAGGAAAGACTATCACTCTGGAGGTCGAACCCTCGGATACAATAGAAAATGTAAAGGCCAAGATAAGGCCAGGATAAAGAAGGAATTCCTCCTGATCAGCAAAGACTGATTTTTGCTGGCAAGCAACTAGAAGATGGACGTACTTTGTCTGACTACAACATTCAGAAGGAGTCCACTCTTCATCTTGTGTTGAGACTTTGTGGTGGTACTAAGAAAAGGAAGAAGAAGTCTTATATCACTCCCAAGAAGAATAAGCATAAGAGAAAGAAGGTTAAGCTGGCTGTCCTGAAATACTATAAGGTGGATGAGAATGGCAAAATTAGTCGCCTTCGTCGGGAGTGTCCTTCAGATGAATGTGGCGTTAGAGTTTTTATGGCCAGCCACTTTGATAGACATTATTGTGGCAAATGTTGTCTAACTTACTGCTTCAATAAACCAGAAGACAAGTAATTGTACATGAGTTAATAAAAGACATGAACAACAAAAAAAGAAAGGATCTTTTGGCTGGGTGTAGTGGCTCACGCCTGTAATCCTAGCACTCTGGAAGGCCGAGGAGGGAGGATCGCTCAAGGTCAGGAGTTTGAAACCAGCCTGAGCAAGAGCGAGACCCCTTCTCTACTATAAAAAAAAACAGAAAGAAATTAACTGGCCAACTAAAATATATATAGAAAAAATTAGCCGGGCATGGTGGCGCATGCCTGTAGTCCCAGCTACTCGGGAGGCTGGGGCAGAAGGATTGCTTGAGCCCAGGAGTTTGAGGTTGCTGTGATCGAGGCTGACACCACGGCACTCACTCTAGCCTGGGCAACAAAGCAAGACTCTGTCTCAAAATAAATAAATAAATAAATAAATAAATAAATAAATAAATAAATAAAAATATATGGGCAATGAATTATGCTGGGAGCTGTCCTCTGAGATCATATAACAGATGTTCTGAGACAATGCAAAAGGAGGTATTAATGATTTCTGAAACTCTCCCCTGATCCATGATTATCTTTTGAACCAGAGACAGGGAACTACACAGTGACAGGACTGAAACAAAGACAACACCCCGAGTTCAGCCATAGTGAAGACACTCTCAGTTCAGGTTTCCGTTTCCTACAAGCAAAAATCTGGGTGATGCTGGTCACCAGCCTGGTGGCCCAAGGTATGTCCAGAAGAGCCTCAAGCACTCCAAACAATGAGGGTGCTATTATATATCTGACACCTTGGTTATTCTCTAGGACAAAAAGGTTGAAAGGGAAGCCCAAGGGGAGAGAAAAATGCTCAAGCCCTGGCTATCCACAGGAAAATTCACACCAATATGCGGGTGAAACAGGTCCAAAAGTATTAAAGACTTCATATATCTAGAGGAAGATAGATGAATCAGACTTTCCAGTGGGTAGGAGGTAAGACATGTCAGGAAAGAATGCCTGTGGGAGAGGCAAGTTAATAGAGCTGCCTCTACTTGCTGCATGAATAGAGGACTAACAAGTTGAGGCAACAGATTTTTGGCTGCTATATGAAGAACAAGGCAAAAGACAAATATGATCTAGAGGTGGGTTCTGAACAATGCAGTTTCCCAGCAAAGGCACGGCCAGATTGAGTATATTACATACTCGTAGCTGAGTTCTCTGAGCACCGTTTATCAATACGGATCATGGTTTTCCCTCTTAGATAACAAAAAGATTGGAACGTTCAATTAATTTGCCACTATGTTTTTGCATAGCAAGTAACTGATTCAGGCTTTTGCCTGTCCTTGGCATTCTTTATTCCATTTTATTTAGGCTTTCCTCAAATCAATAACTACCACTGTTTTGAGTGTCACCAGAATGTAGGCTCTATACATGTAGGGGTTTTGTCTTGTTTATTCTAGCAAAAAGACAGTACCAAACACACAGTAGACTCTTAATAAATTTGTTAAAGAATTTGTATGATGGGTCAGATGCTTTAGATATGGTGATTCTAACCTCATACCACCCTTCCAAACATCCCGATTATTCATCAGGAAACAGGCATAAAGGAGTTAAATGCTGCCCTTCATAGGAATCCAAGTCCTTCTCACTCTAAAACCTTACACTCTCAGTAATGACCTACTATATGCAAAGCACCTCTCTCCTACCTCCTTCACCACCCTTCTCATTCTAAGACTGCCTCTTACCATTTCCAGAAACAGGATCTCCTAACACTCCCTATTTCCAGCCCCTTAATTGCAAATTATCAGAGGAAAACATACACCTCATCTGTGATCCTTGGTAAGGACCTGCCAAATGTTAGCCTGTGCCAGTTTTCAGGAAGAACTATAAGTATCAAGCCAGTCCGACCTTTTAGACATAATTTTTTATGGATCTCAATTCCCTTGGTTTAGGCTACAGTTATCAGTAAAATAAATTTTATTTCTTCATGCAGAATAAAACTTTTAAAGTGAAAATGAAATTGAGTCTAGCCATATAACCTACTACCACTTACTCCCTTTGACTCCCAAGTCATCCTATAGCAAAAAAATCTGAGCTCTTTTTCCCTTTTCTAGTCAGCTGAACTTTTGAATCCCATTATTTCTTTTCTCCTATGTTCAAGTCAAGTAGCTTTAAAGGTTAACAAAAGAAAAAGCAAAACTAGATATTCAATTAAATAAGAAAATAATACACTACTTCAGAGCTTTCTCTTTTTTTTTTTTTTTTTTTTTTTTGACAGAGTCTCACTCTGTTGCCCTGAGTAGAGTGTCGTGGCCATCAGCCTAACTCACATAAACAACCTCAAACTCCTAGTTAAGAGCTTTCTTTTCTTTATCCTCCCCACCCAAGGATTAGCAGAATTATGAAAGAGATAGTGTTCAGTAGAATAAAAAGTATTTATGTTTTCTCAGGCCCAGAAAGACTCACATAAACCAAGTTAACATGCTCACACGTGGGGAAAATGATGAGTGAGTTTCTGGGATCTCTGTGCCTCCCTCAGCTCATGAAGCTAATTTCAATGAATATCCTTGTCCTATCACCATGCTGACAGTTCAGAGCTATATGTGGAAAACTTACCTTAAACTTTTTAAAAAGCATCTATTTCTTCTTTGATTGTCCCACCTCTCAGCAAGGAGAAATCAAAGGTTGGCTTCCTCCCCACTTCCACCAGGATCAGTTAGATTTGCTCCAGATCATAACCCTCACTTTAGGAATAAGATACAACACATACATTCCCACATCCCTTTTCCATTCCCTTTATAATCGTGAGGTCCTATCAAACACACATCCCAGAACAGGTCAGACTTTATTATACCAAGCATTTTGTTGCCATTCTAAGTTGTGAAGCAGTAATACAAACTTTTCTTTTTCTTTCCACAGCTTTGTAAGCCTTGTGCCAAAAGAAACTTTTTTAAAAAAGCGACAGGAAGATACATCTGACACTAGCTTGGTATCTTTCTTGTTACAATATGCATAGAGACAAAAGAAACAAGACACAGAGGAAGAAATGCTAAATATGCCAAGAATCTGGGGAAATAAAAGCTGGGGCAAATCAGTGTACTCCTTGACCTTCCCTCCTCATTGCCAGAGCACACCTGCCTTCGTCCCTCCTCAGGAAATAAAATGAGCAAATAAAGTAAATAAAATGAGCAGCTTTCACAAAAGTGCCTAGTGTATAGTTTTCAAATATTGGATATGTATGTGCATTTTGTACCCCAGAACAACTTTTCCTCCCTCCCCCTCAACACAGTAAAATTAGCAAGTCAAATAGAATAAGAACACCAATTTTTCTGGAAGAAATTTTTATTTAACACTGTAAAGGAAAGAGAAGAAACAAGCAAAGATATGCAGGAGAAGAAAAGAGCCAAACCCAGTGACTGACTTGGCATGGAAATGAGAAAGCAAAGACAGACCATGGTGTTCAACAATATCCACACACTATTGCTGGAGGAGGAAAAAGATTTGTGCTGACCAAGTGTATGTATCACAGAGTAAAACTGTCCAGCTTCAACTAAGTATCTGTCAGCCTCTTTGGTCATTTCTTTTTACATAATGCCCACAGCAGTTTTTGCAGCCTTTTCTTTTCTCCTAAATTCATAAACCCTCTTATCTTTGTCTTTGGACAGATGACCTCTTGTCATAGTTAAGCAGAGAGGAGGAGGAAGGATATTCCTGATAGGAGGAACTACATGAATAAAAAGGTAGGAACACAATTTAGAGGGAGCTACATGGTAAGCCATCAAAAGGAAACAGACACCTTACCTGAGATTCTTGGCAAGAACCTGCCAAATGTGGGAGCTAAGGTTTATGGGAACAGAGACAGATAAGGCTGAAATGGATGAATAAGACCCTTATTAGAGATGGTCTTGAACCTTAAACTAAGGATTTTAGATTTTGTGTCTTATGGAGGTAAAAAACACTAGGTATGGAGTCAAGACCTATTCTAGCTCTGGACTCAAATTATAGCTCTGCAACATACCAGCTATGTATCCTTGGGCAAATGAAGTTTTGAGATACTATTTCTGTTTACATAATTGCAAAAAAAGGATATTGCCTACTGTATCTTCTGTTCCCACCGGACTGCTCTGAGGATCAAATGACAGTCTGGATTTGGAACCCAGAGTTATTTGAATTCTGACTCCAAAATCACCAAAGGTTTCTCCCTTATACCACATCTACTCTAATCTTTCTCTACCTGTTTTGTGTATATTTGTTTTGTGTTTCTAACTAAACACTAAGTTTGGCCTGACATGGTGGCTCACGCCTGTAATCCCAGCACTCTGGGAGGCCAAGGCAGGAGGATGGCTCAAGGTCAGGTGTTTGAAACCAGCCTGAGCAAGAGCAAGATGCCATCTCTACTATAAATAGAAAGAAATTAGCTAGACAACTAAAAATATATAGAAAAAATTAGCCGGGCATGGTGGTGCATGCCTGTAGTCTCAGCTACTCAGAAGCTGAGGCAGAAGGATTGCTTGAGCCCAGGAGTTTGAGGTTGCTGTGAGCTAGGCTGACACCATGGCACTTTAGCCCGGGCAACAGAGTGAGATTGTGTCTCAAAAAACAAACAAACAAACAAACAAATAAAAAACCAAATAAATACTAAGTTCATATGGGCAGAGATTTCTTTTGCTTTTTACTATTCAAAGAATCTTCTGAAACTACTCAGCATTATACAATCACTGGAAGTCTCACAAGGAAGATACGTCTAACTATAGGAAAGATTTCATCCACTGTGCTATACTTAGTCCACATATAAAAATCTGTGACACATGATCACAGAAAGGACACATGATCACTGCCCAAGTTTATCAAGACATTCAAGTTCATTAGACTCTGACTTGAACTAAGCAGAATAAACAAAGCAACCATAAGTCAAAGGTCTTGCTTATAAAGAATTTATTTATTCTGCTTATCTCAAGACTCAAACAGAAATTTGAAATATTTGTATCTTCGCTTTCAAAATGTGTTGATACAATTGATTTCAAATAAGTTTATAAATTTACATGCATAAATAAGTAGTTTTCAGGACATACATACTAACCCCAAGCTATATGAGTGATTCACAACCATGGGTTTTGAACCTCTGTGAGGCCATGAGGTTATTACAAGGAATCTGTCCATAATTTTCAGTTTCAATAAATAATATATATTACAAATATGTATAAATTTCAATTAGATGTAGATTCTGGTGTGACTAATAAAAACAAACTGACTTAAAAGCATTACTGAAATCATAGCAGCTTTTTAAATGTATTTTTTCATCAAAAATACTAAAAATAGAGCTATCATCTGTTGGAAGGGAATCTAATAATTTTTGGACCTTAAAAACAGTATTTATTAGAAAAGGTGAAGAATCACAACAAGCCTACGTGTCATGACTCACAGATCTAAGTGTCCTAGTTGAAAAAGGAAAGGTAACATATAGGTTCCACTTCTGTGGAATATGGCAGCAAAACAAAGTGTATATGTATAAAATCTTAGAGATGAATGCCTATAATTTCACTTGTCTGTGGCAGGTATGAGAGATCAAAACCTCATAATGTCCTTTAGATCTGACAAAGGCTCTATTTTGATTTTGGAAAGTATCTCCAGTTGTATATATTATATTCTATGTACTCTACTTTAAACCACTGGAACAGCCCAGTGGCTCCCAGCCTGAGTGTTGAGATACTGACATTACTCCAAGCTAGGATTTCTCCCTACAGGGTAGCCACTTGATATGTTTGCCCCATCAAATCTTTCCTTCAACTCCCTGCATCAGAACTTATACGAGACTCACTTTGGAAACTCTCAATAAGTACTCTCTCCTACTAGTCATGCCCAATTCCCAAATCTTCATTGGATTTATACTTGCAAACAGCACTTTTATCTTCCCATCTCTTTACCACAGAGGCCAAAGGGGGTTTTCCCCTAACACCCAAATATTTGAATACCAGCTCTACTCCTCCTAAAGTCTGTCTTCCTTCACAGATGGCAGTGGCCTCCCTAGATCATCAGCTCTAGCAACCAACTCTGAAGTGTCCCTCACTTCTAAAGTCCCAAAGGCTGTTTTGTTGTTGTTACTTAGGAAAGTCACAGACTATTAATTAATCTCCTGATTGATTTTGTTAAAATTGATATATTTCATTTGTATTCCTTGAAGGAAAAGCACCTGGAAACCAGGGAGAAAGAAACTGAGGCATGCAGGACATAAGAGATTCAATTTGATATCAAAAATTTACCAAGAAATTTTTGTTAAAAATCAATAGATAACTGTATTGGAGTACAACTGATTATAACATAGAAGCAATGGATGATAAATAAATACCCTTTCCTCAAAGTCATATTCTCAACCCTCAGAAGTGACTAGGTTTTTAACTTCAGTGAACCCTTGCACAACAGATCATGTAACAAGGTACTTACCTGTGTAAGCCAATAGTGCCCCATAACAGAGAACTCATGGAAACACAGGGTCTAAAGGTATATACAATGAGAGAATCAGACAATGGGGCTCCAGCCCTCTTCTATACCCTTGCTTACTGCACCTCAGTGCCCACCATATCCCTTCTTCCTCCAGTACGAAATGTGCATATGTGCCTATGAATATATAAATATCTATATATACACATATATACATATATAAATGTGTAATACAAAAACAAAGATTTTTTTCCTAACTATTTAATCAAAGTGAGACTAGCTACCGAAAAAAACAAGTTCTTCCCCCAAAATCTTCCTTTCAACTTGAGAACCAATTATTGGACCAGAGTAATGCTCAAAGAAAACCATCTAAGAAGCACCTGCCCAAATGTTATGCAACAAATGCTGACAAAATTTATAATGAACTACAGAAGCTATTTACTTAGTCGTCATTTCTATATCTTCTGCCCAGAGTAATTATTATTTTTTTTTTAGAAATTAAATCATTATTGTAAGGAAAAGTCAAGGAGCTACAGCAACATGGACAAAATGTTACTCTGGATTCTCCAGGTTTCTCAGCTTTTCTCAGAGAACTGGCAATAGGCACTCTGAAGGAAAATTAATTTTTAATGCCAGGATTATTTCTTCTCCCTGCTCCCAACTCATTGATTCTGAAACTTTAAAGATGTTGCAGATAAATGTCCCTGTCTCTGCCCTTCCCACCCAACTCTCCAGTTCTATCCAGCCAGAACTAACCCATATGAAGATGGGTTTGACTAACCTATCTGGAAACTACCCAAGAAGCAATAAGCCAAGGCACTGACCTATATAATCTCTCAACTTCCAAGTCTACCAATCTTTAAAAAAAATCTTTCCCAATTATTACATGTGCTAACCAAGTAATTTTCTTCCCTCTTGTTTTAAAGTATAACAGATAAGAGGCAAAAATTTTTATATATTTATGTAGTCTCTATGTGTATGTATATATAGGACAATTATAATGGACAAGATAAAGAAGGAAAGATATTCAGAATAAGAAAATAATCTGTTCAGCTCTTCATGGAATTCAAAGAGCAGGCCATTTAATACAAATGTAAAGACCAAGTTCACACTAATGGCTCAAGATCTAAAATCACAAGTTTTATCTTCTCTTTGACAATCAGGGAAAGCTGAATCATCTCTCTCTTGACTCCTTTAAAGGCTCCAGATTCCTGAGTATGTAAGCCTTCCAGCTATAAAAGAATGAAGACCTGAAAAGTCCAGGTTGCCTAGCCTTCTGCCTTGGGCACTATGTCTAAACTGTTTGAAACATTTAAGGGCAAGGTATTCCCAGAAATAGACTGCTTAACCCCAGCCATGTTCTGGTGTTAGATCAATGACTCTAAAATGTTTTTTCGTAGAATGGGAGTCTTTCAAATTTCCAGGTTAATTTAGGTTAAGGAGGAAAAAACCAGAAATTACGCACACAGCAAATTGGTTGGCATCCACATATTTCTTCCACTGTTTAACCATAGTACTGAGGTCTCTAAGCCAAGGCAGACATTTTTCATAAAGACACACTATTCACTTGGTAAAATTTAAATGGGATGAGGAACAATCTGTGTATATTATTTCTACTTTCCTCTTTGTGATGGTTAATTTATATGTCAACTTGACTAGGCATAGGATGTCCAGATAGTTGGTCAAACATTATTTTGGGTGTATCTATAAGGGTGTTTCTGGATGAGATTAACATTTGAATCAGCAGACTAAATAAAGCAGATGGCCTTCCCTAATGTGGGTGGCCCTCAATCAGTTGAAGTCTTGAATAGAACAAAAAGGCTGACTCTCTCTCAAGTAAGAGGTAACTCCTCCTATCTGACTTCTTGAGCTGGGACACCAGTCTTTTCCTGTCTTCGAACTAGAACTGAAACATAAGCTTTTTCTGGGTCTCAAGCCTGCTGGCTTTCAGACTGGAACTTACACCACTGGCTCTTATGGTGCTCAGGCCTTCAGACTCAGACTGGAACTACACCATTGGCTTTTCTGGATCTCTAACTGACCCACTGCAGAGCTTGGAACTTCTTAGCCTCTATAATTGTGCGAGCCAGTTCCTTATAATAAATGTCTGAAGAACCCTAACTCCTTAATATAAATTAATCTGGAAGTCTGAGGTATCTCCCATTATAGCAAGAAACACTACAGATTCATTAAGTAGGACAGCAAAATGAATCTCATGTCCTCTATCAGAGTAAAAAAAGTGAAGAAAATTTTAGATAACTTAGCCTGATGCTGTTTGCTATACTTTGTCACAACTTTAAGAAGCAGTCTATTAGTTCAGTAGGTCACTCTCTTTTTCTCTTCCCTCTTCAACTCCTTCATTCTCTACCAAAGTACAAAGACAACTCTAACCCCTTTCCCTCAGCCCCAAATCACTGTATGATAGTCCACAAAAACTTAGGAAAGACTCCTAACCAAGAAAGAGACTCACCAAAGAGTGGTGGTATTCTTGTTCTGATCATTCCAAACTATAAAGGGCTGATGTAACCATACAAATAGTACCCCTCTGTGCACCATTAATGTCTTTTTTTGGTATATCAACAGCTGTTATATGTCCAAATCATTTCCTTTTGAGACTCTGAAGTTCCAACAACATTCTTGACCTTCATTTATTCAACTTTAAACACTTAAATGCTCCAAAGAGCAGGTACATGGGATACTGTTAGGTTGAAAAAAATAAGGTCTACCTCTCCCAGGCCAAGTTGTTTTGGGCATGATCACATTAATCAGTCTGACTCTAAGTATAGCCAGAACCAAGTAGAACACAAAAGTTTCAGAGATGAAAATAGGCTTAAAAAATTAAAATGAGACAATGTAAAATCTTAATTCCTAGAGATCAATGAATTACCAAAAACTGTGAATTGGCTATAGAAGCAGTAATGAAGTATCTTATTTCTGTGCAGAAAATTATTTTAAGATTCTTAGGACAAGACGGTAAACAATGAATTGGGGATCATTAAAAAAAAAAATCTCAAAAGCAAAGATTTCAAACATCTTTCTTTCTGTGCCTGTATGCTGCCCAACTCATTCCCCAAAAGGAACTAGAATCAGACTCCTATCAATCCAAGACTCCTAAGACATGTTACACTGGTTTCTTCCTGAAGTTGTGTTTAAAAATTAAAACAAGAAAACGAAAGCATGTGATGATAAGCCACTTTTTCCTTCCCACTGTAATTTTTCTTTAATTTGCTCTTTGGGGAGCAAAACAAAACAAAATCAAACAAAAATCATTAGTCTCAGATTCCTGAATTAATCTGACCTCACCTCATGGCTAATGTGGTCAAGAGTAGATGTTTTTGTACAATTAAGACAAAAGGACTTTATATTAGCAGGACTTTAGGGCTCTGGTTCCACTATATTTACTGTAAAATACACTAATGGTGGGGTAGAGGCTGGAGAAGGAGGTGGAAACATCCATTACGGTAACATGACAGATAGCAGGCCCCTAGCTAGACTTTAAAGAACTGATTCTATTCTGGTGGTGGGAAGCCCACATAATTAAGTTTCACACTTACAAAATTATCACTCTGAATTCAGGAATAAGAGGCATTTGGTTGCAGATACAATTCCATCTGTAAATATTAACTTTAAATTTAGAGAAGAAAAACACTCATTGCATTAATATCATGGGTTGGGGTTTCTTATGAGATTCCTAAATCCATCTACTGTGTTTTTGTTTTGATGCAATTTACAGCTATGGCAAGAAGACTACCATAGCCCTGGTTCAGGCGTGGTCTTTAGCTTCAGAAAGTCCATCGGTCATGTAGCTGGCTATCATTGCTAAATCTGTTGCTTGCAGAGGCCTCAGAGCTCTGGGTTTGCCGAGTAGAGTCCTCACCATTTAAGCTCTTCCTACATACAGGACATGTGTCATGCTGAAACAGAAAAATATCAATCCATGTGAACAGCCTGACCTGAGAAGCTTAGGGTACTGAAGACTAAAGAACCCTAAGAGTTGGCATATTAAAAATTATGACTTGGAAACTAGGAAAACAAAAACGGCTCCAAGGTGTGATGCCAGGATATCTCCCAAATAGAACTTTAAATAAATCTGACAGAATTCTAGGCAAGCAACTTTAACAACAGCTAACACATACTATCAAACAGAACTAAACAGAAACAGTGATCTGAGATATGACAGGAGGGTAAGTGCCCACCACTTTCCATATGGTCTAGCGCAGGGGTCAGCAAACTTTTTGTTTAAAGGGACAGAGAGTAAATATTTTAGGCATCATAGGCCACACCATCTCTGTTGCAACTATTCTACTATGCTGATATAGCACGAAAGTATCCCAAGACAATGTGTAAACAAATGAACATAGCTGTGTTCTAATAAAACTTTATTTACAAAAATAGGTGGCAGGCCACAGTGGCCTGTGAGCTGTAGTTTGCCAACCTATAGTCAGAAAAGTTCCAAACAGACAATAATTCAACAAAACAATAATGGTGGTACTAAGAGTTAGCCAGGGATTTATGAGATTAAAATATGATCTACTTGACTCTCCATGAACTGTTAACTATACCTTTACTCTGAACCATCCCCTCAAGAAGATGTGACTTACAGTACTCACCAGTTCCAACCATGGTACAATACAACTGCTATGAAAGTAGTGATTGCAGGGTAACTGCCGGACTTCTTCTTCAACTGTGTAATCTTCTTTGCATACTGGACACTCTAAACCCATATCTGTTGGAGAAGTAAATGCCTTTTAAAGTAAATAAGTCAAAAGAAGGAAGAAAAAACTAACCCAATGTCTTTAAGAACCCTAGGAATGCATAACAGACAGACAAGAAAAGGTATATTCAAGTGGGAAATAGGTAAGAGACATGAGTTATATTTCAAAATGGGTGTAAAGGTGGTAGTAGACAGGGACATGAAATGGAGGAATGATGAATAGGGCCTATTCCAATAAGGCCTAGATAGGAACTACAGAAAGTCTACTTTAATGTAAAGAGTTGGAAGAAATAAACTAGGGCTTAGATCATCTAATATGATAAGTAAAACAAGAAAAACAACTTCCCAATGTGACAGCCTTCTGGCAGTCAATTTTCACTTAGGAAACACAAGAATCCTGTCCACCACAACCAAGAGACTCATCTCAGCAATCTCAACAGTTCCTATTCAGTGTCTCAAGCCACTTTTACCCTGCTCTTTTCCACATTATATATCCTCTTTCAACATGGCTGCCCTCAAGTCCTCTGTACAAGTTGTTAAATAAAAGCTGTACCAGGAAGTTGTGCTGCAGAATTCCAACACCCAAGCATAGCTAAGACCTCCAACTCAAGAGACAGGAAGTCCTCTTCTCTGAGAGAAACCAATCACAAACCACATTGGGGATTCCAAGCAGCAAGTTCTGACTTTCCCAAGTTTGGCTGATAATACCAGCTTGTCTATATCCCCAGTGGCTGGCATATGCTCCATGCCCCAACAGCAGTCAAGACATTTGGAGCAAAACTACTGCTTAACAGATTCACTCCTTCCTCGCCAGTCCTACCACCTTTGCCCTAATTCTAACTTTTACTTCTCATTCCTACTCTAATGCAACAGCTTCCCAGGTACTATCCCTAATTCCAGGTCTTTAACTCTCTAAATACATCCTACACTTTGCTACCAGCTCATTTTCCCTAATACCAGCTTCATAGCAATCTCCAGCTCCTCTTCACTTGGATTGTCAGCTGGTGCCCTCAAAATCAACAAATTAAAAATATCATATCTCTCTTTACTCAAACCAGGGCCCACTCACTATTCCCCTACCCCTGAAGATAGCAGCATCACCTGTATCATTACAAAGCTGAAAAATCTTAGAATCATTTTTGACCCTTTCCCCTCCTTCATCTCATTACACAATCAGTGATGAAAACCTTTCTTCAAAATGATCTTCTGAATCTACCTTTTTCTTTCTGTTAGCATTGTTACTATCACCTGAACCCCACCTGGACTGCTGTAACAGCCTCTTAAATCCGTTTCTGCTCTTTCCCCCTTCCAACCTATTTTACACGCTACCTCCAGACTGATCTTCTAAAGATCACTTAAATTCCCTCATTCCTCCATTTGGGGACCTACAAAACTTCCCTACTACCTAAAATACCCAGGCCTAACTTCTCTTGCAGTTTCAAGGTCCTCTGTCACAAGGCTTTACCCTTCCCATCCAGTCCTACCTCCCACCACTCTCCAAACCGCATTCTATTTCAGGTCTGGTAAGGTCACTGTCCTTATACCTGACTCAGACACCAGATCCATGCTGATATTCTTATATTGGTTCATACTTTTCCTTAAATAGAATGACCTAAGATGGCCCATCTTGTCTTTAAAATCATCTCTGACTCTAAATCTAAATTTATCGAGAAAGAAAACTTCCAGTCCAAAATTGTGTCTCTTATCACCAAATTCCCTCAGTGCCTATAAATAAAGTAATATCTATGGCTAATGTACCTACCTATAGTTGACACAAAGTAGATATGAAACAAATTCCCAACCCCTCATTTTTTCTCTTCCCCTTTCCCCAAAGTCATTATCATCTGTCCAAAACTATTTTTAACACTGTTTTTTAATCATTTGGTGAGTTTTGCTTCCACTAATAAGTTCTTGAACTTACTAGAATCAAGTCATATATCCATGTACTCCTTTATTTCCAATGGCACCTAGAAAAGGAACATGGTAATTGCTCAGGAAATACCTGTTGGCTAACCTAATGAAAGAGTAACCTAATGAATGGCACCTTCCATGTCTGGCCCCAGGTAGGAATTTTAGGGGGCAATAGCCTCACCTCAAGATCCTTTGTATGGGAAGATACTGAGATTTTGAACATAGATCAGAAAATGACAGAATAAGCATAAAAATGAACCTACCGACTTGTTCCTGAGTTACTGTCACTGTTGGAAGTGATGTGATCTTTTCCTTGTCAGCTGGAGGAGGCCCTGTGTTTTCCAGTTGTCCTAAAAGCTATTTAAAAAACAAACAAACAAACAAACAAAAAAAAAACAGAAAGAAAAAACAAAAAGAAAAAGGAAAAGAAGTGGCAGACATCTCAATCTCCCTGGAGAGGGAGCTGTTCCAGCTGAGAACAAACAGAGCAGATATTAGAAATGTTAGTTACTCTTACTCCTGCAAGGCTCTGAGAGGCTTGGGTTTTCCCTTCCCTGATGCCAGAACACTCATAATTGCCATACAATTTCAGAGTAACAGAAGTATAATCCTGCAGGAAGACCCACGATGGCAAGGCCTACCTTTGGGCAGCCATAGCGTTGTGATATTGTGAATAAAACTACAGCTTAATAAAAAGTAATACTTAGCCAAAAGTCCAAAAACTTTATTTTGCTAGAAGGAAGAAAAGGGTGGGAATATGAAAAGTAGCATAAAGTAAGCCAAGAAATAGATAAATTACTGCCTACACAAAGACTTGGATATAAATGACATGCTTTCTATTCTCAGTAATCCACAAAGGGAAATGAAAAGCCAATCAAATTAAAATGAACATAAACAAGTAAAAGCAATTAAACATGGCATGGGAATACCTTTTTCTCTGCTTCCTTCCCCTACTTTGCTCCATCTAGCAGAAATCCCTGCTTCAACATATAAGAAGACCCTCCTTTTTTTTGTGAAGTAATTGTTAACAGGATCCTCACAGGACTGAACAAGAGAGGCCAAAAATACAATATACTGTTTGTTATAGGAGAAGCCTTTTCTTCCTACGGAGGTGAAACTATCTTCTAGAAATCCCCTTGGACCTAGAAGATACATGAATGCTAAACTAAACCCATAAACCATTTATCCCCTTAGTAAAACAGAAACCCAAAGCTCAAAATATTAGAGAAAGCAGAGTGACCACCATTTCAGAAAGTAGCAGAAGGAAAGCAGGAAGCCTGTGGAACCATGAGACACACTGAACAGACACCCTCAAAAGGCAGCTCCTCACCTGGGTTACAATGGCATCAAGCCCTGTTTGACCCCAGGCATAGTCCCCAGGGTTGGAGTGCAGCATCCCGCTCCTATACATGAGATGAGACAGACAGCATTAGATGGAGTGACCAGGCTCCTCCTCCCTACACCACAGAAAAAAACTGGCAGAGGGATCCTATTCTCTCTCAGAGCTGGAAAATCACTAGTCCTCTACAATCAAAAAATTTCTCTATATTTTTAAGATCAAACAGATTATCCAGAGATAATCTCTCATTCTCTAGGAATTTTACTTAACTGGAACATAAAATATGAAGCTACCTAAAGTACCACATAACACACCAGAGCAAAAAGAGTGATTCATTGCCTGCTAGTTAAAAAGTTTGTCTTTTCTGTACCCACTTACATTAAACATAGATGGAGCTGCTTTTCAAGGAGAGTTTTCCCTTCATGAGTGGTCAGAATCTACAGCAGACTTCCTCCATTCTAAGAAGCCACCCACAGTCCTAGACAATGAGGAGCTTTCACATAGAGAAGCAGCCATAGCAGTCTCTCTGTATCACAACTTAGAGCAATTACAAAAGGGACTTGGTAACACCTTTTTGGAGCTGCTGGTGCACTACCCTGGATGACAGAGGTCCAGACTCTTCAGCTGAAACATGTTTAAAGGAACGAAAGGGTAGAAAATAGGGTTATTGTATGGAAGGACTGAGCTCTCTCTGAGCAAAGAAGCCTTCTGGGGCAGAGTTAGAAGTGGCAAATAATTATCCAGACAAGAAGAAATTCTATCTTCAACCCCTACTATATGTAAGTGTCCTTCTGATACTGAATTATAGCCTTTTGTTTCTTCTGACAAACCTTCTTACTTTGGAAAAAGATAATTAAGGATTATGTTTTCAATTTCAGAAATTCTTAAGGAATAAAATCTTCCGGTACAGTCTAGAGGGGAAACCCACAAATCAGATACCAATCCTGCACCTCAACACAACTCTCAGATCTGAATATAAATGGAATCAGACATTTCCAGCACCTAAACATCCTGGGGGACCAGGATGGCTCTCCTGAGCCTGAAAAAATAAGTTCTGATTAAGTTTGGGCTCAGTAGAAAAAGGCAATCTAATAGCCTTCCAGTCACATCTACATACTCACCTATGCAGCTCTCTTTCTTTCTCTCTATGGCACAGAAACTATAGCACTTAAAATGATGCTATTCCAACAAAGTAAGCTAGAAAGCAATTAGTTACTTACCAGGAAAAAGGGTGTGGGGATCCAGGAATCGCAGAATTTGCAAAGAATCCTGCAAAGATCTGTTGTATTATGCTGTCAGAGGAGAAAAAAAATTATATAAGACAGCAGACTAATGAAAGTACTCTACAGATATTCATGGCTGACTCATCACTAACTACCTCCCCAAACCAAAATGGCTTTTCACAAAAGCCATCTCTATTACACAAGAGATAGTACCAGAAATCAGTCTGCCACCCAGTGGTATGTTATCTTGCTATTAGGGCTATATTCCTGAGCTCTGCTATCATATGGATTAATAGACTTTTTATAAATTAGGCTGGAAAGAAATATGATGGTATGGTATAGTTTTCAAACTATATGACTTGGATATCTGGCACCAATATAAGGAAGGATTGAAAGAGATGCCAAGCCAGTGGGATTTGAGGCCCTCCTCTCTTTAACAAGGGTAGTTTCATTTTTACATGTTTTATACATTGGGTTTCTGTATAAGGTATTATTTAAAGGGTCTTTTTTTTTTTAGTTTGAGAACAATTCTAATTTAAGAGTATTTCAGATGATTATAACACAAATATATCCAAATGCACACATGCTTGGCACTTGTCATTCTGAATACTTAAGATGACACATGTACTCAGTTCTTTATTCTCATGAGTTTGGTCTTTGTTAACCAAAGAGATAGTGGGGTTATGTCTCAGCAAAAGAAAAAAACTGAAGAAATCATTCCCTTAGATCTCTTGTGTTATGAATGATATGCACTTTAGCCCTCTGGGTTCCATTTTACTTATTAGGCCAATCAATATAACAATGGTAGTAGCCAATATTAGACTTTTCCTGCTACTGAAGTTCAACAATAGCTAACTATACTATTACCTATTTTTTGCCTGCTTTTGTTGTGTTTTATTGTTTATTTTTTAATTGGAAAAATTGCATGCATTTATGGTATACAACATGATGTTTTTTTTTTTTTTTTTTGAGACAGAGTCTCACTTTGTTGTCCAGGCTAGAGTGAGTGCCGTGGCGTCAGCCTAGCTCACAGCAACCTCAAACTCCTGGGCTCGAGTGATCCTTCTGCCTCAGCCTCCCGAGTAGCTGGGACTACAGGCATGTGCCACTATGCCCGGCTAATTTTTTATATATATATACAGTTGGCCAATTAATTTCTTTCTTTTATAGTAGAGACGGGGCTCCGCTCTTGCTCAGGCTGGTTTTGAACTCCTGACCTTGAGCAATCCGCCCGCCTCGGCCTCCCAAGAGCTAGGATTACAGGCGTGAGCCACAGCGCCCGGCCACAACATGATGTTTTAAAATATGTATACACTGTCTAAGGACTATATCAAGCTAATCAACATATGCATTACCTCACATATTCATTTGTAATGAAAACACTTAAAAATCTACTCTTTCAGCAATTTCAAGTATACAATATATTGTTATTAACTATAGTCACCATGTTGTTGTCAACAGATATCTTGAATTTATCCCCTCCTGTCTAACTGAAATTTTCTTATCCTTTGACCTGCATCTCCCAACCCCAATCCACCCCCAACCTTTGGTAACCACCATTCTACTCTCTGTTCTGCTTCTATGAGTGCATCTTTTTCAGAATCCCTCATATTTGTTTGAAAATGTCCACAACCAGTGTGGCCTTGACTCAGTGACTCACTTCTTAGCAATAGAATATGGCAGAAGATAATCTGTGTCGTCTGAGATAAAAAAAAAGGCAAAAAATAAATAAATATGAGGCAATGCACACATTTATTAGCTTGATGTAGTCTTTTCATGGTGTATACATATTTTAAAACATCATGTTGTATACCATAATATATATCATTCTTGCCAATTAAAAAATAAATAATTAGGCTGGGCACAGTGGCTCACGCCTGTAATCCTATCACTCTGGGAGGCCAAGGCTGGTGGATTGCTCGAGGTCAGGAGTTAGAAACCAGCCTGAGCAAAACTCCATCTCTACTAAAATTAGAAAAGAAATCAATTGACCAACTAAATATATTATACAAAAAATTAGCCGGCATGGTGGGTGCATGCCTGTAGTACCAGCTACTCGGAGGCTGAGGCAGTAGGATCCTTGAGCCCAGGAGATTGAGGTTGCTGTGAGCTAGTCTGATGCCACGGCACTCACTCTAGCCTGGCAACAAAGTGAGACTCGGTCTCAAAATAAATAATAAATGCATGAGATTGTGGGTGTGATTTTGCCTAATGCATGAATCCCACTAAGATTCACAGGAACACTCAAAAGTTTTTAAAAGAAATGCTACAATTCACTATTGCAAGGATGCGAAACAACCCAAGTGTCCGTCAATTCATGAGTGGATTATTAAAATTTGGTATATGTTTACAATGGAATATTACTCAATTCTAAGAAACAACAGTGAGCTAGCACCACTTATATTATCCTGGATTAAGCTTAAGCCTGTTATCCAAAGTGAGGTGACACGAGATCAGAAAAATGGGGCTCCACATGTACTCGCCAATCAAATTGGCACTGACTATCACTATGGTGCTTAACTGGGGGTGGTATTCACAAGGGACTCCGGGTTGGGGGGTAGACCCACATCTGAGGGATGTGGTGAGCATTGTGGGAGGGAAGGGCATACCTCCTAACCTTTGCTAGCAGAAGCAAAGACATAAAAATGCAACCAAAATGTTTGTACTTTCACATTTTCTTGAATAAAATAAAATGAAAAAAATAAAAAGAAAGAAATGCTGCCAGCTTAAACTGAAAGGTAGAGAGACAGTATAAAATGAAAAGAGGCCTTTGGGTCCTCAAATTTCTACTGACAAGAAGCAGACTAAGAAAACAATGCTGCTGCAAATATGAACTATTTTTCATGAAAAGAAAAGATAATTCACAGTGTGGACTCAAAAGTCCAGAAGAAGGAAATAAGAGCAATAAAGAGGCACTCCGTAGGCAGGAATAAATTCCTAATCAAGGAACTTCCAACATTTCTCTAGACCAACTATCAGAATTACCTATGACCAGCATTTTCTTTGTGCCTTCCATTTTCCCTATTTTTGAACAGGAATCTCTATACCTGTTCAAAATCATTGCTCGTTCCACACCACTGTATGTTGGATGTGTGATGGCAAATAACTTGTCTCTTTGTTTACATATCTTCACATCAAAGAAATTGTACCTAAGGAATTACCAAGAGACATGTCCATAATACTCCACATTTCAGACCTAATTAAAAGATAATTACCTACATTTCAAGCTGATGCTGTAAAAAGGAGACTTTTGGTGGATGCTGGAGTGAGTGAGTATATTTTGCACATGGGAGAAGTAAAAATATTTGTGGCGGGGGCAAACTGTGGGTGGTTTTAAATATGTCCACAAACTTTTAGAGGTGGAGCTTAATTCTCTTCCCTTGAATACACACTGGACTTAGTGACTCACTTTTTACAGATAAAATATGGCAAAATGACAGTGTATGGCTTCCAAAATTAGGATATAAAAAGGTATCATGGGTTTTTTTCCTTCTTCCTCTCTCTTGGGTCACTTACTCTCGGAGAAGCCAGGCTGCCAAGTAAAAGAGACATTCAAGGAGCCCTACAGAGAGGCCCATATAGTAAGAAGCTGAGGTTCCTTGCCAGCAGCCATGTGAGTGAGCCATCTTGTGATACAGATCTTCCAGCCTTAGTTCGGATGAACTAGTAGCCACAGCGACATGCTTATTACAACCCTAACACCATCGCTCGTGTGATTCACGCCAGAACCTTCTCACCCATGCACAGGCTAAGTCACACAGCCAAATATCCTTAGCATGCATGCACTCAACCGTCCAGACAATAGTGAAATAATAAATATGGTCATAAGCTGCTAAATTCTGGGGTGTTCTGTTACACAGCAATAGGTAACTAATATATCCCTTGTTTGCTAGTGAATAACAGCAAATTTATACACCTTGAACTGACCAATAGTAAACAGTAATGACCAAGTTTGGGAGACCAGCCTAGTTCTTGATGCTATGAAGTTATCCTACACAAATGCTTGTGTGCCAAGGACAACTCCGACAAAGCATAGCTTCTCCCCTCTCTCCCTATCACCTGTACGAGCGCCGGGCTCAAGCCATGCTTTGTGATCTACTTCCCCCTTCTCTCAGCTCGAACGACTCAGACCCTGCTACTCCGCCCATGTGCAACTGCCCGCAGGCCTCACAAGGAAGAACACATCTAAGCAGAGCGAGTTGTCAGCTCGCGGAAAGACCCCGACAGTCCGCCCGACAGATCAGAGCTACTGAGCTGTTGTTTGGTGATTATTGCACTTGATCATACAACTATTCGTATACCCTGAGATCCCACAAGCTCCGTTTTGATAAAAGGTTATATTACAATTTAACATGTATAAGCAAACAATACAAAGAATATACTAACTTTTATATACGTTCCACTTAGCAAAATTGTTATAGGAGACGAGAGCCCAGCGCCCATCCCACAAGGAGAGATGTACACGCTGCTCACTAATTGTTGTAGTACCTATGTTTATTATTTAATTGTAATCTAGCAACTTACTATATATATTAAACTTCACCAAAAGAAGTTAAGAGAGAACAATCATACATGGTCTACAGAAGTCACATGCTAACACCAGATAAGAGTCCTTTCATCTTTTAATAATCTTAGCATAGATAGCTTACACATGTCTTCCCTTCTTGGTCAATAGTCTTACCAATACTTGCACCACCTTGGCCGGCTGTATCCCATGATATCAGTATAACCCGGCTCGCCTGAGTCTTGGCTCTACATTACATCATTTTTATCTTTCCAAACTTATCAACACCAGTGCTTATGGACCCTAAGGCATCTAGCAAATCTACTCAAAGCTCTTACTTACACTGGTTTTCTCAATACAGTCCTGACTCCTCTTATTACCATATTTTATCTCACGTAGGTCATTATAATTTTATTTTATAGTATACTACCATTGACACAATCAGTTATCTCATCTGGTAAAGGGATAATGAAACTAGTAGGACAAATAACGTCAGAAGCTTCTGAGAGACATACAGCGCGAGAAATTATATACACCGATAAGACTCCTGATACCTAAGCACTTA